TGGGCAATGGAATAAGTGCTCACATGCCGGTCCGACTCGACGATTTCCATGATTTTATCGACATTTTCGACGATTGGCCTACCAGAGCGTGCCTCATCTTCGACGTCCATATTACCAGAACGGAATCGTTGGAACCACCGCTTTGCTGTTGCATTCGATACTGTACTGGGTCCATAAACAGTACAAATTTTTTTGGCCGCCTGCTCCGCCTTTTCACCTTGGTCGTAGTGGTAGTGAAGAATGTATCGAATTTTCTCTTTTTTTACCTCCATTTTGGAACGCTGTAATACACAACTGGCTTGACCAAACACAAAACTGTCACAGAACTTTTTTTGAAGCGTAATGTCACCTTTAAATCGCCGTATAGTATGACCCGATGCGGTGTATACATCGTGAGATATGGCTCACTAAAGACATCTAGCGGAAAACGCTCAGAACTTTTTACTTCACCTAATATATACTTTGGTTAACTTAATTGGTTGGTTCTTCCAATGGAATTCGATTACATTTCTTGTTAGTCAGACTTGATAGATGCGATTGGTCAATTCCGTTAGAACAACCAGCCGATTAAGTTAACCAAAGTTGGTAGAAATGGGCATTAATTCAGTATTTTCCTTGACGCGTACGCGATAGAGGACCGAGGATGCATCGGCTAAATCCCATCGTGTTGTGCGCGCTTCTACTGGTGATCGCCTACGCGGCAGAAAATCAGAGCAATTCCACTCATGAAGACAAGCAGCAAGATGACACGATGCACTATGAGCCTCACGTCAACCTCACTACCATGTGGGACCACGACGAGAATTGCACGAGGGACGACGAGGACTCGGTATAGCATGAGTTTTACAGCAACTATACACTGAAAGAAAAATATAGTTGCTTTCGGCGTCAACTATACTTTTTTGTGATTTTAACCAGAAAAATAATTAGAAGAACCATCTTTCTAATAACACTTACTAAAATAATGGTTCTTTTAATTATTTTTGTGGTTAAAATCACAAGAGCGTATAGTTGAGGTCAAAGACAACTATATTTTTCTCTCAGTGCACGAAGAACCTCGATGAGAAGGGCAGTCAGAATGTGCCGGCCGAGCTTCGCGACAATTTCACAGAGATCAACGACGGAGACAACTCTACGTCGCAGCTTCGCCCAGGAAGCAATTCGAACCAAACAAATTCCAAGATCTGCAATGACACAATCTGTATACCAATTTGTTGCGAACTCGGCTATCGTATGATTAGAGGCATATGCACGCCCGATGACAGTGAATATGAATTCCCGGAGGTACACGAGATGGGCAAGAAAGTGGACGAGGTTTTTCCATTGTTCGTATCAGATCCATGTACCAGTGAACGCTACGCGCTCGATCCCTCCTTATATCCCGAGGACGAGTACATAATTATGACCAACGGTTCTGTGTACCAAACGCTATTGGACAGCTTCATCGATCCGACAACTTACTGCTTCGGCATCAAATATAACAAGAGCAAATACGAGCTAACCATTTGCTTCGATGCTACAAATACGACCGTAGTCGAGGAGGACGTAAATTTCAACGAAAACATCATTTTGATTAGCATATTCATCAGTACCTCAGTGTCCTTGCCGTTCCTGATATTGACCTTCCTGGTGTACACCATACTGCCGGACCTCTGGAACATCCATGGTTACACACTTCGCAGTTACGTCGGCTCGTTATTCGTCGCATACTTAATCATCGGGCCGTTCCAGCTGATGTCGCTTACCACTTTGTCGGATGCAGTCTGCATTGGATCGGGTACAGCTTGAACAGACCGTATAATCGGTTCTATACAATTGATGTTATATCCTTTATGCTCGACTGTATTTTCGTTCTTGCTTCGTCGTATATTATATGATGACTCAGGAATTAATTAAGGCTTTAGAATAGCACTCTCTAAATTGCTTGGAGTAGGATTTCTTGGAGTAGAATTAATAAGGGGTACAAGTAAAATGAATAACATCGACTCGGTATTCTTTCAGACATTTAACGAGGACTTTCTTATTTTCCTTCTAATACCCAAATTTTCCCGGAAAATTTAATAGGAAAACGAGAAATATTTTGATATAAATGCATCAACATAGATTTTTCTCTTTCTTATTGAATCTTTGCAAGATACATGTATCTCTAAAGATTTTTTTTCATTGGATGTAAGCACGCACTTGTTACATATTTATCGCGACCTTTTCCCACGAGTTTCCGATATAAAGGAAGAATATACAGTGTAGTTTTCATGGTCCAATAATAACCGCAAGGCTTTCTTGCACTTCAATATAGCTTGATTTTTAGATACTATTTATTTGCTGTTTCAGGCATGGTCTGTTACTTCTCGTTCCTGGCGAGCTTCTTCTGGCTGAACGTGATATCCTTCGATATTTGGTGGACATTCCGGTAAGCGGCAAAATACTCTCGAGCTACATACTTCATCTCGCAATTTCGTCGAGTTGTATTTAAGCAGTCGAATCACGGTGATCGTGATGTATATGTGTGAATGTGTGACCTTCGCAGTATTTCTAAAACGCCTTGAAACTGGATACTAAAATGATAGAACGTGTTGTGTCAGAAATTTGAATATCAGTAACCCCGTGAAATAACTTCCGTCTTTCGAATAAGATAAACGGCCAACTTATCGATCTTTTAAGAACAGTAAGGACAGTTATTCTTTATTTATGGAAGCAATATCAGATAAAATTGATAACAAATAGTCCTATCGCATGAATTAATGTTTTCTGTATAAGATACGCCTGCTTTGTAAATATATATATAAATAGATGTAGAAATTATATATTTAAGTAATATGTAATATTACCATAAAGTTATATATTTAAAAATACTAATTCACTGCCGGTGTTTTTGATACTCTGAAAATATCGATGTCGCACTTTCTGACCCCATCGCCGACCTAATTTCTGACCTTTTATACTGTCACAATGTAGCCTCACAAAGAAATTTCCATTTTGTACAATTTCACAGATATGAACATAAGAAAATATTTCTTTAAAATTATATTTCTATATAATATCAAATAAAATTATATTTAAATAATGACAACATTCGAATGAAATATATAATAAATATAGGGACAAATTTTAACATTAATATTCGGTTTTTATTTTTTTAAGTTGTTGTTTGTGCTGTCACGCTGTACTCTTTTTACTTTATTATTTATAATATTTTTCAAGTAAGGAAATATACATTTTCTTTTAAAATCTTAAAAAAAAAAACTTTAACTTTCCATGAAAGCAATTGTTTAGTCTATTTATATAAAGGAGTTTAGATTTAAGTAAATATGTCATTAGTAATGCCAAAGAGATGTTTATTATTTTTCAGGTATTTTTCTCTCAGTATATTTATCATATTATCTATTTTATACTTTGTTATATATTTAATCTCTTACAAAATGATGCCTTACATCTGTGTGCTTTGAGCGTGAGTTCGTGATTTGGTTTCTGGCAACGCTTTTTGCGCCATTGTTATCGCAATACATTTTTATAGCTCTGTCGCCTTCATCTAGCGACATTTCTCTGTTTAGCTGTGCGAGCCAGACGGCTTTACAGCTCGCTGTAGCAAGCGCGATATACTCAGTCTCTATTGTGGAAAGTGCTACGCTGTCTTTCACAGCCCCAACTATAGGGCCCCCGGCAAGAATAAACGTGTATCCGCTAATAGATTTACGATCGTTGCTATCGTTCACCCAATCCGCGTCGCAATATCCAATAATATTTGAATTTGTTTGTCTTTTAAAGACCAATTTAAGGTCCGCAGTATCTTGTAAATATCGCATTATGCTACCCAATGCATTTGACTGTTATCCAATATTCCTTTTTTGGGTTGTTACAAAAACTCGCTACTTTATTTACCGCGTATAATATGTCGGGTCTAGTAATCTGGCTAATATATAATAGGCTGCCTACAGCCTCCGCAAATGGCATGTCACCACAGGTCGATCCCTCCGCTATTGACGACGCAGAGAGCTTTGTGTTATTATCCATGGGGGTCTTCGCTGGGTTACAATTTGCCATCTGGAAATGTGCCAACATCTTGATATATCTCGTTTGATTTAAACTTGTTTGTGTCAGATCTGGGTTTCTTTTTATTCGGATCCCTAAAAAATCCTTGGCTTCTCCGAGATCCCGTAGGGCGAAATGTTCTCTTATCCTCTCCTTCAGTTTCATCTCTTCCTTAGGATTATCATAGAATATTAAGAGGTCGTCTACGTATATGGCTATTATGATCATGCTTTTTGATCTCGACTTTACGTATACTCACGGATCCGTTTCTAAACGTCTCAATTCGAATTCTCGAAGGCATTTGTCTAGGCACTCGTTCCAATATCTTCCACTTTGTTTCAAACCATATTTTGCCCTTTTTAACTTCTATAAGTTTCCGGAACCAACTTCAGTTTTGAATGATTCGGGCGGCGACACGTAAATTTCATCTTTAAGTCTGCTGTTTAGATAGGCCGTTTCTATATCGAGATGAGTTGTTTCGAGCCCTTTTTGCGTAGCTAATGCGAATAAATATCTTAATGTATTATATGAGACTACCGGCGAAAAGATCTCTTCGTAATTTATTCCTTTTGTTTGGGCACATCCTTGGGCAACTAATCTCGCTTTAAATCTTTTATTTCCGTTATCATTGGTTTTTATTTTAAATACCCATCGAGCGTTTAGTGATTTTTGCGAGCCACATTTATTTACTACTTCTGTATGTATCATTTCATAGTAGTGACTCATACTCATGGTTAATTGCTTCTAGCTATTTTTCACGTTCCGGACTGGTTAATGCTTCACGCAATGTGTTAGGTTCATTTATTGGTTCCTGGAAGGTTGCGTAGGATAAATATCCTTCCTTAATAAATGATTTCTTTTTTCTCTGGGATCTACGTGGCATTTCAGTAGATGACATCTGAACCTTTTCTTCAGTGGGATGTTTTATCTCTTCTTCTGTTGGTTCGGTGATTTCGTGTGCTTCGCTCCACATATCTTCGATTTTCGGTTCCGCTAAATTCTCATCACACGCGTTACTACTCTCTTTCTCAGTCTCTTCAGGGAACTGTATTATTTGTTCATTCAGTTGATCGCGTGGAGGATTATACTCGGATTGATGAGTAGCTCCGTGTGTACGTCCGTGTACGTGTGCGCTCGTCCATTTTCTTCGCCGGCCGCGGATAGCCGTATGACCCGCCTGCTGCGTCTCCGCGCTCTGATATGCCCAACTATTTTAATTAATATCTCGAAATTTTACGTGGTTGTTTGAAAAGTGACCTCTACAATTTTTTTTCACTTTTATCTATTCTACTTATATTCTTCTTTTGGCACGTCTTACGCGGGACACCCTGTGTATACATATATATATATATATATATATATATATATATATATATATATATATATATATATACTACTATATATATATATAGTGTACTACTTAGCGAATTAACTGTTTGAAGTTACAAATTAACTAAATAAAGCACCCCGATAGTGAGAGGCAAGGGGACTCACGTAAATGAAGCACCCC